ATATTGTAAACATAAAATGGCAACCATATATTGAAGGAACCACAGACAAAATCAGCAGAAATCTACGCTAACTCAACATAGCAAAATCATTCGTACCAAAACAACACAATAAGGTCCATGCTCCGTTATCCAAAGGATCAGATACCACTACAGTCCAAATGAGTTTACGAAGTGCCATATCAAGACTGTGACAATACTTACATCGGCCAGACTAACAGGCGAATTAACATACACAAGGATGAACACAACGCAGGTGGGGCATCACAGGTAGTGGGAGCACCTGTGTTGGCCCACTAGTCTAGTTCTAAACTCCAGACACCACCAGAAGTCGACAAATGAGATTTTGCCGAAACGTCGTGGAAATGATTCATATGCGGAGCGATACCCGGAAAAACAGCTCATCATATTGGACCAGGAATTGCAAACGGAAACAAGTAAAAATGAGAAATTATTTTTTTTCGTTCAAACTTATCGAACTTCATTTCTTCTTCAGGAACAATAAAATATAGAAAATAACATAATTGGAGAATAACAATAACATCTTATTATACAAAATTACTGACTTCTCTATCAATGTCTCAAATTATATTATTCAAATGTGCAAACATGTTTCAGGTGAAATGCCATATTGCTGTTCTTTATGTAACAAATCGTTCACATTTCAACAGTCCTATCACAAGCACATGCTGTACCATTCCTCTGAAAAACCTCATGTCTGTACCGAATGCGGCAGAGCTTTCAAAGAACTTTCCACTCTACAAAACCATGCAAGAATACATTCCGGTGAAAGGCCATTTGTTTGTGAAACTTGTGGTAAGAGAATATTTTCCTTTCTTACGATATAAAGGGTGGGCCAAAAATGGAAAACAATGCCGACTTCTCATATTTGGCGTTTGGAAAAAAAATCGCTCGGACCCGTCGAGTTTTATTTGAAGCGGAACATCTTTTAAAAATATATCGATTTATCTTTTAATGTCACCTTTTTTTCAATTTGATGTCTAAATAAAATATAAACAAAATCTGTCAAAAAACGATGCTGGTTATGAAAAAAATAAACAGTTTTTGCTATCTTCCGTTGACAATCGAAATGTCCCTCTCAAAAAAGTTACGTTCTAATTTGATTTTTTCGCATATAACTTGAAAAACTCGTTTTCTTCATCGGTATTACTTCTTTAGATAGCTACTAATATTAGGTTAAATCTTAGAAAAGAAAATGTATTTTAAAGTTTTGTAATAAAGCCGAGTGCTTTCATATTATTGTTTTGAAAGACCTAAACTTTTAGTATAAAGATATAGTATAGAATCATCACCTTAGAGTTATGAGAATAACAGGTATAGAAATCGATGAGGAAAAGTTGGTATTACTGAGTACATTAGATTTTAAACTATACTGAAAACATAAAAAAATGAACAAAAATTGTGTCTCAGTCCTAGCTTAGAATTTGATGAAGTCCTATTTGCAGGACAGGACACAAAAAGGGTAATGGTGTAGGGGGTTGGAATCTTAGATCTTAGAAATTGTTCAGGGAATCTCTCGAATCCCTCAAAGATTTGTACTTGGACTGTTCTCAGACCCTTTTTGATAAACGCAAATAATCTGATGACCTACCTCAGGGTCCTATACGAAAGTTGATTCAGTTGCATATTCAGATGATACTAACATTCTTGTCACTGCAGAAAATTCAGTAAATCTTTTAGATACCACGGAGACTGTCTGTGGAAAAATAATTACCTGGGCGAAAAGAAATCATTTGTCACCGAACATCAGCAAGACAGATCTTATGAAATTGTCAATGCTGAACACAACCGAGCCATTTAATAATAAATGTTTGATGGAAAGAAGCTGGAAATATAATCTAACTTGACAACTATGATGCTGAGTAGATCAACTATGAGAGTTTTGGGACGGAAGTGGCAGCCATGTTTCAGCGGGAAATTCACATCATATGTATGGCTCGAGAATCGGGTTACCGGCGGCGGCGTTGTCGGTTGTAGAATTGAAGAGGCGTACCGCGTTGTTAGTATGATGAAAAATCAAGCATGAAATTTTACAAGGTGTGCAGCATTAAAGAAAAAAATATGGCTGCCATGGAGATATACAGGGTGTGCAGAAAAATTATGGCTGTCATGGGGGTATACAGGGTGTATAGTGTTAAAGAAAAAAAGCATGGCTGCCAGCGTTAAAGAGAAAAATATGGCTGCCATGGAGGTGTACAGGGTGTGCAGTATTAAGCAGCCATGAAGTATGCAGGTTTTGACCCTATGTAATAAATTTGAGACAAATTATCATGCATTGAGATTTATATCTAACCACCATGGAAGAGAAGTTCTGTTGAATCTGTATCTATTGACTGTAATGAAATAATGAACTGGGGCCTGAGTTCCGCTGCAGATCGATACAAAGTCAGTCAAAAATCCCACAAATGCCCTATGAATCCTCCTGGGTCAGTTATTCGGGTGCCCGAACAGAAATCCAGCAATAATAATTCTCCTCCAAACAGCCCGGTTTACGTTAGGAATGTTGCTACTGGAAATGTAGTTGTTCCACAAAAAGTAATAGAAGAAACGTCGGTAGCAGACCAGTCTGAGGTACAGAAACAGTCAATCGTGCTCAACAACAATGAAATGATTCAGATCAGTTACAACAAGGCTGATCTTCAATCAGCTATCGAAAGTAGAGAGGTGAATCTTCAGAATTGCAATAATATCAACGTACATAATCAGGATATTACCATGTTGGCTCAGGAAAGGTTAGGTAAGAGAGATCAAATATAAATTAGAGATTCACAAAATATGATCAACTGTAAATAATAAGTATCAGTTTCGTTTAATAGATTGAGAGAGAAAGAAAACTTCATTATACACAGAAATGGTAGTTAATTTCTGACAAAGTATTCACCTCAACATACACTTTCAATACAAACACACTAATGACAGTATAATTGTAGAAATACAATAAGAATACAATAAAAGTTACATCCCAAAACATATCAAAATTACAATATTTACAATTTTTTTCATAAAATTCGTATAATGTATAGTAAACTTCATCTGGCAGTAAGCATTTCACAGCCTTCCTGAATATATTATAATTAGTAGATCTATATCGAATATGTATATGCATGATTACACATTTTTTTCATTTCTCCATTTTTATTATTGTGGTTTTTGGAATCGGCAATGATAACACGTAGTTATTACGTTTTGTATTGTACTTACCCATAGAGCCAATCTCAGTAGTAAATGTTTTATTTATCATACACAAAGGTCATTTAATAAAGTCTGAGAGATGTTTTCACAGTAGCAAATTCCATAAGTTGTGGAATTGGCCGCGGTCTAATGCGCCCGACTCACGATCGGAAGACCGTGGGTTCGATTCCTGCCTCGACCAGATATTTTTCTCGAGAGAATTCATCTGGTTGAAGCTGGGATGATTCTGCAACCTTGTTAGGAATCACACGTTAAAAGGTAAGACCTCGTTAGTCCTTAGCTCGCACAAGTTTCTCAACTTCTGAGAGTTGTTGTTGGGGCGACAGCTGATTAACTAACGAAAAAACAGATTTTAAACAGAAACAGATTAAATTAACGCAATTTGAAATATGATCATCAAAGGAAATAGTTTCATCAACATATAATCCTAAAAATGTTTTTGACTCCAAGCTGATTGTCGAATGACCTAGCATAATTTCATTGAAAACATACCTGAAAGACAATACAACTCTATGTGCTTATGAAAAATAACATATATGCTTCACAACCTTTTAATTCTATGTAAATCGACCTCAATAAAATCACTGAGTTTGTTATTGTTCCTTTTATGCTGAACTACTATCGTATCATCAGCAAATACATTAAATTCTACTTTAATATCAATGAGAGCCAGGACATATCATTAACAACAATAGGCCGAGAACAGAACCCTGAGGTACTTCACAAGTCACTGATTCACCGACTGGGATTTGGAAGACTCATAGCTTTCTTCTTTTCCATCTTCCAAAAAAAAAAAAAGTCAATTCTACCTCTTCATTCGTTATATTGAGTAGCAATCCGGTTAATGATACCCGATTCAATTCCATAATGAATGTTTTGGAGTACAAACTGGATAGTGGAAGGTGGTTTTGATCCATCTGTGAACCAACAACTACTTGCTCTTAATATTTCTGTCTCCCATAGGATCCAGTCCTCTCTGCTCGGGAACAGTACTTTATGAATCAGTTCGTAGTTGACAGTTGGAGGCATAAAGTCAGAGGTCATTTCCAGAATGCTGTGACTTCCATTGTCAACCAACAGTCTGTTGCACTCTGCATTAAATTGATTCGTGCAATTGGCAACTGCTACTCAATATTTCGCTGTTGAAAACGAAAAAGCAAACTCACTCAGAGTAGAATCCCGTTCAGCTTATATATTGGTTGGGCTGAAGCCTTTCAAATACCACATAACGATGGTACCACAAGTACCACATAACGATGACCAATTTTCTCCATTTTCACAAATTTACTTTCGCTATTGATGACTGCCAGACAAATACTAAACAACCCAGAGTCTTCAAACTTGAAACATATGCTTTATAGATTGTATTCTTTCAAACAACTACCGCCATCTTTAGGACAAGCTGGGTACTTCTTGGACCACCCTCGTATTATCCATTATTTTTTGAATAATTTTATGGTCCACAGTAGCAAATGCTTTCTTTAGGGTAATGCTTGCATATTTACTCAGTTTCAATTCACTGTGTATACTGGAATTTTCATATGTTCATTCTCTAAATAAATCAGTTTTCAACACAAATATTTCAAATACTCCTCTGTCCAATTTTGTAGACGTACTCGTGGCTTACACTTGCTGAAAATTCTAAAAATAGTCTGAGCGCGCATCCAAACATTCAGTGAAACCCAATCAAAAATAGAACTCCACCGAATTATCAGATGATTCTGTTCTGCTGCTCGCAGTTTCCTCAAACTAGTGCTTGTACAATGGAAATAAAACTTTTATCTTGTCCCGTCTGTTCGAAACCCCATTTCGAAGGTGTGGACGCCCTCAGAACCACTCTAGTGACCGTTGCAACCAGCTTAGTGACTTGTCCGGTATGTTGTGAAACTTTACTTGGCCTAGACAAGCTGACTATACATTTGTTTAGCCACATCAGTAACGCTACAGTTACGAAGAGCGCTGTTGAAGATAAGGTGCAGTATGAAATCGATCAAAGTATTGAAGACGTGTCGAAATCCACAGGAAATGAAGAGCAGAAAGTTGCTCCAGCATCAGAAGCTCTCACATGCGATATTTGTAATTTCTCTTTCACCAACAGAAACCTTCTGGAGATGCACCAAAAGCTGCTCCACAAGACGAGCCCGGACAAGAAAACTGGGACGTACAGTTACCACTGCCATTTGTGCAGCAAAAAATTCAGGATGAGGGGCAGTCTCATGGTCCACTTGAGAGTGGCTCATTATGGTTTTGGTCGCCCCGATACAACAAGTAATTTCAATGCAATCAGCGCCGAATTATCAACAAATCGGGAGGAGGAAGATAAAAAAGAAGTGGACGAGTCGAAAACTTTGCAAAAAAATGTGACCGTTCGACCACCTGATAACAAGCAGTGGGAATGTGACGTGTGTTACAAAATGTTCACCACGAAATACTTTCCATTATAGCATTTCATCATCATTATTTTGTCCACCTCATGAGTAGTTTGACCATATAATTAGCGGTTAATTAATTTCATACAGAATTTCTATATCATTTTCAAAAACCATTATTTGACACTTTTATTCAATACAATATTTTATGTTCGTATTTAGATCTCCTCAACCGTTGCTTCGTCGCCTTTGATACTGTTTATCGCAGTAGTAGACGAAACGTCGGTCATAAAAACCTGCAGACCACTGCCAAAAACCATAAAAATAGCTTTGACACAAACTATAAATTTTTAACCAACTGAATAGTATTTGTATAGCAATTTTTCTCAACAAATGTTTGACGTGATTCTTTAAATTAACTTCTTTTTATTTATTAACCGCTTTCTGGCTATGTAATACGAATGAAGGTCTCGAGAAGAAACTAGGCATCATCAGAAAAAATCTTCAACGAAATGGTTAGTCCAAAGGGATAGTGGAACAGACTTTGGCTAGAAGACAGCAAAAGCTCCATATGGAAGACCAATGTAAATCCGCATTGCAGAGAATAAAAAAATACACAGCGAGGAGAAACCAGCAAATCGGGAATAGCAGAGCATGTTTGGAATCATCAACATAACATCAATAAGAGGTCCCATAATGAGATCATCCACAAGGAGGAACACTTGTTTGAGAGGAAGTTCAAAGAAGCTGTTGAAGCAGCAGAGATACGCAACATATGGAAACCTGTTATCAACTAGATAACGGTCAACTCCCGCTGAACCGTTGAAGAGGAGAAAGCGCTCGATTGACCTTTAAATAGTCATCTCTCAGAGGAATAGTCCAGACGTTAGTTAAGGAAGCTATAGATTATGCTGTAGAGTATAGACAACCCCTTCCGATATAGAAAGCCTCGAAACTGTCGAATGAGGCCCTCAAATCCTCCATTAATGGATGAATAATCTTTTCATAAACTAACCCCAGCCAGGTACCGGTTCACCACGAAGGGCGGTACTGATGTCGATTATACAGATTATAAAAAAGATCATTCATAATATGAAAAGCACTTTATTGGAATGTTTTAAAAATTACAATTATAAATTAATTATCAAAGATCTCAGACTATATTGTGAGGATAAAAACATTTTTGATAAAGAAACTAACAATGATTCACAAATTTATTGAGCTCCTCAAAAGTGATGAACCAAACAATTTTAAAAATTCTGCACAGGGGTACCTTCATGTGTTTAAATTAGCCGATACTTGATGATTCAAGAAACACTTCATCATGAGATTTTCATTGGACACTTTACGAATCCGCAACACCTGTTTTGCTATATAAAACCGTTTATGAACACGCTTGAGGAAGCTATTGTACAGCGAAACGTTTGTTGCGGTTTTGTAAACTGCCCAGTGCAAATCTCACAATAAAATTTTATTGTAAGATAACGTTTTATTGTAAGATTTTCACTCGACAGTTTACAAAACACTATAAAACACGTGTTGCCGTTCAGTAAAGTGTCCAGTGAAAATCTCACGATAAAGTTTTATTGTGAAAAAACGTTTCATTGTGAAATAACATATTGTGAGACTTACTGGAGAGTTTACAAAACAGTGTTTCACTAAAAAAACATGTGTTGCGGTTTTGTAAACTGTCCAGTGAAAATCTCACAATAAAACTTGATCGCAATAAAATTTTACTTTGAGATTTCCACTGGATAGTTTAGAAACCACAACACGTGTTTTATAATGGAACACTGTTTTGGAAACTGTCTAGAAAAGAATCCACAATAGAATATCATTTTGAAATTTTCACTGNCCATTTTGTACCCACATCCATCTTGAATTTGCATATTTTTCAAAGTGTACTAGTATTCTACTAGTCAAGTTCAGCCATCTTGGATTAAGAATGATACAGAATTTATTAAATTTTATTGTCATCAAAAGTAAATGCTCCCAAATTTCACCCAAACAAATGAATAAACAAACAAACGAACAGAGCAAGCTAAATAAAACCGTTTAAAAATCCATAATGAGGTTAAAAAAATTATGTCACATTGCAATATGTATAGGCATGTATATTGTTTCCTCGTAAAATTATTTTATTGTAGCGCCCCGATGATGGATTTAATAAAGTCCGAAACGTTGGCAATAAACTACAATTTCGTGTATTTTACTATAAATTCATTTATTTTATTTACAGTCATGTTGGATAATTCAGTTAGTTTGGATAATTTTAGTGCATGCAAATCAAATTTTTCTAAATTTTTTTTTATCTTTTTATAATTAAATTGAATCTATACATACCTACTAAAAGTATTGGAACGTTCGGCCCAAAATGTCTCACTTCTGGAACCCATTTTAGGGCAACGTTATCGTATGATGCCAAGTTTTTATCGACGGAAAAACAAACAAGGAAACAGTTTGTCTGGAAAAAAAATAATTGATGGATTTCTACAAAATTCAAAACAGTTCTCACAAAAAGTCGCCCAAACTAGCCTCTACAATTAGGCACAAGGTTTATTACAGATTTTTTTTAATTGTAGTTCTGATTCTCACTCGCAGTGTTCTAATTCATTGATTTATAAAATTGAAAGAAATCATAATACTTTTCATCTCACAAATATCAATGAAGTCTCCAATCTAAAATTCGAAAAATTCTATAATAGTTATGAATCAGATAATAAAGAAAAACATTCTGGTTTGTTTTCAACGCTATTTGTATTTATTTTTATAAAGTTTAGTGTGACTGCTGGTGACCCCAGGCCCCACAAGAAGTGACCTTAGTACCGCCCTTGCATTAAACACCACCAGTAATAAAATTTATAAAAAGATTGATAACATATTGTAAAACAATATGACATTCCATAAATTTTCAATTAGAATAAAATCAACACGTTCTTTATGCGTTGTTTGTTTCATTATTCAAGTAAAAATCGTGTGCTATTAAACAATTTCTTCATTGTCATTCTTGGGGTATATAATACCTTTTATTATAGATATCAATATTTTGTCCGGTGTTGAGTATTCTGTGTGGGAGAGAACTTGTGCTTTTTTCCTGCATTCTTCATTTTTTTCACATTTTCGCCAGGATCTCAAATAATTACTGTAAAAGTCAATATCTTTCATATTTTGTTTCAAATTCTCAATGGGACAACTACATTAAAAATCAATTAATCATTCATCAAAAAATCATCAGAATTCCATGTATTCTTAAAATTCACAACCAGTTAACATAATAGGAGATATTTGTTTGGAACAAAACTCCTTTTTGTATGCGCTCTCTTTAGTGTTAACAATGGATAATTTAAGCTTTCACTTCTTGCACGAAAGTTTTGTATAAATTCCAATTGTCCAGATGAAACTTTCAATATGGCGACTGGGCCATCTCCTTACAAATGCTTCACAACCCTAGAATATATTGTCCATATCTTCGAATACTACAAAATGGCGGAACTTTTAATAATTGCCTGAATACATTGACATTCAACTACATAATATGAGATAATAAGCTTGAGGTCTGTTCAGAAGATGCTCGAAATGGTTGCCTGGAACTTCTTGACATATGAACAGCCTATCTGCTATTTCACGCCGAACATTTTTGAACACAGTAACGTCAATATCTCTACAAATATTTATTATTCTCTTCCATATATTCAATATTGAAGCAGGTTCAGTTTCGTACACCTTTTGCGAGCAATACTTTCTTGTCTGGAGTAATGTGGTGGAGCTCCATCTTGTTGGGATACAATATCCATATCGAATTCATTAGGATTCGCTTCGACAATTTCAGTGATGAGAAGGTCAACAGTAGTTTTTAGCATATTCAAATACAGTTTCCCTGTTAAATTTTGATCAATAAATAGAGGTCCTACAATATTGTTTCTCAATATTCCTGCCCAAACTTTATTTTNATGGTATAGAAAAAAAGTGTTTCTATGTTAGCCTACCAACTTTTCAGGCCAACTGTTTGCATTCGTGCTGTGTTGCAACTGGACTAGAAAGGGAAGCTCTACAATAGTAATGTTCAAAATTGCTGTAAAAGTTGACATCAAATATTAAAAAAAAAATGGTTTCGAATTTAACCGCGTTAATGACTCACGTATTAGTAATCTGTGACGTAGACTTCGTATCAATGCAAGGAACGTCTGATTTTTGTTAATGATAAATATAGATAATCGCAATATAGCTGACGTTGATATCAAAAATAAATCACGGTTCGTGGTTTTGTATTAACTTTTCTCTATTACATGAGTTACTTACGTATATACGATGTCAATTCCAATTGCTTAAAAACTAAATAGTTACCGAACGTCGGCAGTTTCTTCGTATGTCATGGGCGGCGTGGTATAATTTACGAGAACTAATCATTATTTTTATGTAGGAGGTTTTATATGTTATTAACTAGAAATTCATCAGACCCGGTACATATTAGTCTTTTTTAGCTCTTCGGATTGACTTCATATGTATAGACTATACTTGCTTACATGATGTTTACTTACATGCGGGTAGGAAAGAGGCCTCAGCCTTTCATAATCTTCTTGTCCAGCTGTGTCCCATAATGTCATATCATATTCGACGTCGTCTACTGTTATTTTCTGGCCATAGTGCTCGAATCTATAAAGGAGATTGTTAATGTTATCGAGATAGGTAGGAATCATATGAGAAAAACATAACCTCCATTATCGTCTGTTAATTCATCATGTAGCATGCTGGATTCACAAAATTTATAAGGTGGACACAGAAAAATGTACTTCATGTTTGCTAATTATAAATGCAGGGTCCATAAAAGTATCGTATTCAACAGAAAATGACTATACAGTGTGGCCCATAAAGTATGCAACAAATGGAACTGTTTTTATTCGTTGCAAAGTCAAAATTTGAATACCTACAAATGTTATTGTATATTCAATAACTATATTTAATGCTCTTAGATCGAAGAACACTTCAAACTCGTTCAGGAATGCGAAGAAAAGTTGCTATCATACTTTCGTATAATATATATCCTCAAAATTTGTTTCAAATTGAAATTTTTTAACGGCCAACTTTATGTTTTTTGCATCGATATTTCAACAGATTTTTATAAACTAGCAATGTTTTTTAACAAGGTACATAGGTACTTCACTAATAATAATGATTTGGATATGAACAAAGAATTCTAAATGATCCAATTTTGTTAGATAACAGCTAAGTTTAGTCCGTTGTGTCCGGACCGGGTTGTCCCAAAGCGATTAATTTCAAAAATGAACTCTTCACAAACATGCATATAGATCATGCAAAGAAGTAACTTTCAGACGCAAACTGGAAGAAAAATCACTCTCGAAACAACTACTTTCATATAAAAATTGAATATACTTCTTCACTTATTAAAATAACTTGAAGAGATTGCAAAACATTCTTATGAATGTTTATGGTTTGAAGCTCTATGTACCTACACGTTTTGGTTCAAGTGTTCATAACGGTGTAAGGAGTAAGTATATATATTATAATATCTATGGGTGTAAAATCTGGAGAATGGCGAGACCATCGTGGATAGATGAATCATCCTAACTAATTCCAACAAAATTTCTTATTCAGGCATTGTGAAATAGGAATAGTCTCTTGGGATTATTGTGNACATGCGCTTCTTAAATAATTATCAAGTTTTCAGAGAATGAGTAGTAGAACAATTTAAGTTGTTCTGATCTACTTTGTGATAATTAGTACGATCAAATTCACTTTCACTTATTCAATCATTTTTAGGGCACTTGATATCTGCTTTGGTTCCTCTCACTTGAGTTTGATGGAATTTTGATCAGTCAGAGTTCGACTATTTTCATTTATACTTGATTTTTTTCAAGTGCAATATTTCAAAAAAATAGTCCAGTTGATAATTGAAAACCCTTTTTGAAGAGAAGGTGAAAATTTCAAGTCACCATTAAATTCCTCAAAACTCAACAAACTCTTGTAACCCGTATTTAAAGGACGAGATACTTGATGTTACCACCTTTCGAGTTATGTTATTATATCACAGAATTGTTATAGAAAAGTAACTTACACTGTTGGTACGTATTCTGCTGGAAAAACTCCTTTGGTATAAGTACTCAGCATGCAGGTCTTTCCAACAATACCATCTCCCACCACTGTGATTTTCAAACTCGTCATGGCGAATTCTAAAATAAAATTTCAAACTTGAAAGAATTGATAACAAAACGTATTCAAAAAACACACTTCAATGTGAGGCACCACAATGCTATTGTGGCGCCCCCTGGTGCTGGTTAATTGCTTGTTTCATGATTTTTGGTTTACAGTTCATTTGGTAGTAATTTCAAATCGAAAAATAGTGTACTTTGTTTCAGCTCTCCAAATAGCGTTGTTTTTCCGTAAATAATTATTAAAAATCGGATTTTCTAGGCCCATGACGTCACGAGCCTAGTCCCGTTTCTTGTTTGATTGACCAATAGGAACAAAACAAATAATGAACATTGCCAAGTTGTAAAATTCACGGAGCGTATAAACAGTTTCTGATTTATTCGTGATTCAAAGTAAAATCACACTCACTTCCGAAAGTATAAGAAATGCATTTAAAGGGAGAATTAATACATAGGATACATGTGATCCAAATAACACAAAACGCAATAAAAATACAAATAATGAACATTGCCAAGTTGTAAAATTCACGGAGCGTATAAACAGTTTCTGATTTATTCGTGATTCAAAGTAAAATCACACTCACTTCCGACAACTAAATTTGAGAAGAAAGTATAAGAAATGCATTGGAAGAGAGAATTAATACATAGAATACATGTGATCCAAATAACACAAAACGCAATAAAAACGTTATTTTTGAAATATCTCCGGCAGTAGACATTTTCATGTTGATATCACAGAAATTTCAATAATGGAAGTGTATATGAACCCGTTAACGTTTAAATTCATGAAAAAATTTTCCATATGAAATAAAATGTACTCGAAAATCATGATTCTAAACAGAATGTAACGAGCTATATTTTTAAATGGTTCTCGAAGGCTCATGAACCCTACTAAAATAAGTTAATTATGCATTCATGCAACCCACCAAAAATAAGAAATTCAACGTTATATATTAGCCATAATGCCACCTAGTCAGGTATCTTTCTTGAATGTATGAGATAATGTACTCTTTCTAATGTTCATAACTTCGTATTTTTGTTAAAATAATTGGCAATTGGCAACACCGCTGTAGACACGATTCATTTCATTGGTCAACAGACACGCGGCCAATTTAAACTCTTGCTTCTCGAATTTTTCTTTTTTCTGCAAATATAGGCTCGATAAGTATAATATACCCCTAACTCCTAACTCGATTAGTCTATAAGCAAACCAGTATAATTTCCAATAGCATGAAACAAGCCCATATTATGAACAATATGTTATTTATGGATAAATCGTAAAGGGTATATCTATTTTGAATTTTATTTCTTTCAACTAGGTGTAAGCAAATATCGAATATACAGCATTCAATTTACCTCGGAATTACTATAAATATTGATGGAAAGTTTTCAAACACTGTTTTTTCACTCAAGCAGAACCAGAGGACATATTATGCATAATACTATTTTGGGACATCAGAATTAATAACTTTATCATTGAAATTGCAAAATACACACCATTATCAGTTGAGAGTTAGATTATTCAGATACTATTCTTAAAAACTGTCTTTGCAATCAAACAAAAAAAGCATTGTCTGAAATTGTGAAGATGAAAGTTTTCAAATATACACACTCGAAAATTCACGATGCTTTCAAAACAGCACAACAAAAATAAATTCAGCAATATTGTGGTACGTACCCAAAGAAATCTAATTGGAACTACAATGAAACATATATGAAATACTACTGGACATTATATTTTTCAAACACTTCGAAATCAACTGTTCGATCGATAATTCTTCTTCACTTTATCAAGAATAAACAAACCATCAACCGCACTCATTCAAAATATTTGACAATGTGAATATCATAATGGTTGTGACGATTAGTCATATCAGTTATGAATAACAAAATGTCTTAACAATTTCCAATTAGTATGCGGTTCATTTCCTCTGTCAATTGCATTCCATAAAAGTAAGTAGATATTACAATGGCCATTTCAACAATCGAAAGAGATTCAACGACCTGACAATAGAACGGAATGAAAATTCGTATGGAAAATGCGAGGGTTTCCGTTTCGGCACTTCGACTCTTCCTCTGTCTGAAATATTTCTGATTCTACTTTTTAAATTCCAACTTTTTTCAATGGCTACTTGCAACAAAAGATTAGGACATTTCTTAACTACCATTGGTTTTTATTTAAAAACTTATTCCAAGTGCTGTTCATTGATATGCAGGAGTATATTAATAGTGTTTTTTTGGTTCTATTTGTATTTATTACCTTCCTTGATTTTCAATGATCACCTCATAATTGAATATCCCAATTCTTGAACCTCCTCTTGATAAGAAATATTAACTCTTGGCAAAGTATAGTTTGATTAGCTGGGATTTAATTATTATCTATGTGATTTCAAGGTTTCCATTCTCCAAAAATCCTTGTTTGATATTGGGAGAACGAAAATTCATAAATGATGAAAATGTAGGGGTTTCGGTTTTGGCACTGCAACTCTTCCCCTGTCTGAAATATTTCTGATTGTACTTTTTAAATTCCAACTTTCTTCAATGGCTACTTGCAACAAAAGATTAGGACATCTCTTAACTACCATGGGTGTTTATATTTAAAAACTTATTCCAAGTGCTGTTCATTGATATACAGGAGTATTTTAATAGTGTTTTTTTGGTTCTGTTTGTATTTATTACCTTCCTTGATTTTCAATGATCACCACATAACCTCCTCTTGATAAGAAATATTTACTCTTGGCAAAGTATAGTTTGATTAGCTGGGATTTAATTATTATCTATGTGATTTTAAGGTTTCCATTCTCCAAAAATCCTTATTTGATATATGGAAATCATAAATGATGAAAATCCATAAAAAAACGCAACACTTGATTATCATTCATTTAATATACAAATTGAATATTTATTTCAAAGTAAACTCATTACTTAAAATTAAATTATGTTGAGAAGAACAAGCTTTTTCTTAACGTACAATAGGTACAGTGTAGGTACTATTTAATAAATTGTAGACTCGCGCTGTATGTAATTCTTATTAGGTAATTTTGTAATTTCGAAATATATTTTGTTGATAATATATGACTATACAGGAAATTCAAAAATCCAAATCCAATCCAATGTTAGAAATCACACGTTAAAAGGTAACACCTCGTTAGTCCTTAGCTCGCACAAGTTTCTCAACTTCTGAGAGTTGTCGTTCGTATGGGGGCGACAGCTGATTCACGGAAAAACAGATTTTTTTTAAACAGATTTCAAGTGTATATAAACAAAATTCACAAAAACAATTAGAATACAATTCGTGAAATGAGTATTCAGTCAAATTAGGTAGAAATATATTTTATTCAATCTTTGAAAGACAGTTTTTGTGGAATAGTCAATGTTTCTTGCAGTTTTTTTATGGATATTCAACCTGCCACAATTTAAAAAGTAAGCAAAGCTATTACATTAGTTCGGACATCCATTGTCTAATATGATATAAATTGATTTGAAATCCCTGAAAGAATCTCTAAAAAATGAAAAAGATTAGCTGGAAAATAACAATTATATTAGGCAACTGAAATTACAATGAAATAAAATACAAACAACAACCAAAAAATATGAAAATGAAGAACTAGACACCTTCCTGAAGCACATCAACAACATGAGTCCTTCCATCACTTTTACAATGGAGAAGGAAGTCCACAACGAATTGCCATTCTTAGACGTATTGGTGAAGAGGACCGACACTAAATGGGAAACATCTGTATATCGAAAACCCACTCACACGGAAGTGTGAGTATCTCAACCAGGAATCCAACCACCATCAATCGACTAAGAGAGGAATCATCAAGACTCTAGTAGACCGTGCTTTCGGACTCTGTAATACAAAGGAAGGTTTCGAAAAGCAACTAGGCATCATTAAAAATGACCTTCAACTGAATGGCTACTCCCAAGATGATGGTGGAAGAGGCTTTAGCTAGAAGACAGCAAGATCTCCACAAGGAAGATAGACCGCCACAACCAGTACTTGTAGTTCCCTACATCAGAGGATTGTCGTCCAAGGATTGGATTGGGTCCAAGTATAACATCAGAACCTGCTTCAAATCTGGGAACATTATCCGTACCAGCCTTACAAAAACCAGGCCACCAAACGCGGACTGCGATTCCAAGAATTGCATTTACCGGATACCCTGCGAGTGCGGAGAATCATACATCAATGAAATTAGAGGCATTGCCGAGCACAAGAAACACACAGAGCGAGGAGAAACCAGCAAATCAGGAACAGCAGAGTATGTTTGGACTCATCAACATATCATCAAGTTGGCTCAAGCTAAAATCATCCACAAGGAGGAACACTGGTTTAGAAGAAAATTCAAAGAGGCCACATATATGTTGTCCAACATCGCATTTAGTCAAACTAGCGTAGAGATACGTAACATATGGAAACCTCTAATCAAGCGGAACATGACTAACTCCCGCCAAACGGTCAGCTTCCGCTAAAACCGATGAAGCGACGAGAGGGAAGAGGGGATAGATGAAAGCACTCGAATGACCTATAAATAGTCAGATCTCGGAGGAATAAGTCCAGTTATCACCCAAAGACGATTGTAGATACTAACAATCGAAACGTCGTGTAGTAACTTGGTTTGGAATCTTTTAATTTTTATTTTTCATTTCTTGTTAATATAATTTTTTGGTAGTTTTTTGTAGTTTATTTCATTGTAATTTCATTTTTTTTGCTTAATATAATTGTTATTTTTCAGCTAATCTTTTTGATTTTTCAGAGATTCTTTCAGGGATTTCAATTCAATTTATATCATATTAGACAATGGAAGTCGGAACTAATGAAATGCACCACGAAACATTGTCAACCACCTTCAAATAAGCAAAGCTAAACCAATAGCAATAGAGAATCTGCTAGAATGTAATACAATTTTTTAATCCAAAATGTTTCATGTTAAAAATCAAAGGATTCAAGATTAAAATATCTCCCGGCTTTGTTCCACTATTCAAAACCTTGTCTGGTATTAAATTTGCACTAATTCAGCAGCGTAGTATCTCCTTGCATCCTGTTTTCTTTGATTATTCATTAATCGCATTAGTTGTTGTAAAAAAAGAATGTTCGGTAAAACCCGTATTCATGATCCAAGGGAATCACTCCATAAGAATATGAAAGGGAAAAACTTCTGAACCGTTTATGAGTTTGAAATGAAATGAAAAGTTTGAACGTCCAAATTTTCCCATAGAGTTTGGGGTTTATCAAACTGACCTTTCAAAAATTACATAGTTTAATATTTGTATTGATACAATATATAACCATCGACAACACGAGACATTTAGGACAGTAGTTGGACACCGATGAGCCACTTAGGCCATCATCGATATGTCATCAACTTTTATATAACCAAGAAAAATCCCGATTTTGAGGCAAATAGATGAAAAATTCGTGATTATATAGAAACTATATAGAGTTATCAAGGAAAGTACCTATTAAGAGAAATGTAAATTAGCTGAAAATACAAAACATGATAGTAAATTACTTATGGAAAAATCAGAAATCCATCACCTAAGGAGAAGAAAGTTTTTGAATAAAGAAATACAGATGGTGAAGTCTACTAAAAATTTCTATTTATTTTTCCCACGCACATTCAAAAAGTTGGAACAACAAACACTATTCTTAGTGAACGCATGAGGAAAAGTGGGTTTCATAATAATAATATTAATAGTATGCGTTATTATCATAAGACATAATCTTGTAGACAAAGCTTGGGTAGTAAATACTTTAAAAAATGCAATACATACCAACTGAAATAAAAATAAAAATGATGCATGGGTACAAACTATGTTAAAATGAAGGATATAAAAGATATGTATATATAAAAGAGTAAAAGTCAAGTTTATAAAAAAGTAGACATAAATAGTAATAACTTAGGAGCTCCTTAATAAGTAAAGATAATAAATTTAATAAATAAAGATAGTTTAATTAAGTTGAAAGATAAAATGTTTGAATCACGCCAATCTTTAACTTTTTTCAAGTCGGCAGAGATTATTTTGTGCAACTCGCAAGTGTTTTTATTATTCCAAAGTATGGTAGTGTCATCTGCAAATGAGGTGAACTTCCCAGAAATATTAAGCTTGGTGAGGTCATTAATATATAATAAGAAAAGAATGGGACCTAACACAGAACCTTGTGGAACTCCAGATTTATTTTACCTTTTTTTTGAAAGTTGAGTTGTTTTGACCATTTGCGTCCGTCCCATTAAGTAGGAATCGAATAATTTGTGAGTTCTGCATCCATAACGTTGGAGCTTTCTCAGCAGTATTTTGTGATCAACGCAGTCAAATGCGTTAAATCACTAGTATATTGAAATTAATTTTAAAAATCAAAAATGGTTGCAAGAAATGTTAATTCCTAATTTTTCTGAAAATACTGAACTTGTTATAGATAATGCTCTAT